CTTGGGATTTTGATGAGTATTGCATTGAATTTATAGATTGCTTTTGGCACCATTGCCATTTTCACAATATTAATTCTTTCAATCCAGGAACATGGAAGGTGTTTCCATTTCCTTAAGTCTTCTGTAATTTTCTTCTTTAAAATTTAAAAGTTTTTTACTCTAGAGATCCTTTAAATATTCAGTTAATTCCTAAGTATTTTATTTCTTTTTAAGGTTCTTGCAAAAGAAATTGCTTTATCTTCTCAGTTTTGGTATACAGAAAAGCTACTGGTTTTTGTCGGTTGATTTTATACCCTGTTACTTTACCAAAGTTTTGAATCAGCTCTAGTAGCTTGGGGGATCTAGGAGCTTGGGAGAGGAGCAGGGTCCTTTATGTACAGATCATGTCTTCTGCCCAAAAGGATAGTTTTACTTCTTCCTTCCCTATTTGGATCCCCTTTATACTTTTCTCTTGCTTTATTGTTCTTGCTAGGAATTTCAATACTATATTGAAGAGAAGTGGAGTTAACAGACATCCTTGTTGCATTCCTGATTTTAGAGGGAATGGTTTTAGTTTTTCACTATTAAGTATAATGTTAGCTATAGGTTTGTCATACACATCCTTTATTATATTGAGGAAAGTTCTATGTATTCCCAGTTTCTCCAGAGATTTTATCATAAAGGGGTGTTGGATATTGTCAAACACTTTTTCTGTATCTATTGAGATGATCATGTGGTTCTTGAGTTTCTGTTGGTGTGTTTTATTACATTTATATTTACTGATTCCATGTGTTCAGCCAACTCTGATTTGTTCCTGGGATGAATCCTATTTGATCAAATTATGATGTTTATTTGGTCAGTTGTTGAATTTGGTTGGTCAGATTATTATTGAGAAATTTTGCATCTATGTTTTTTTTTTTTTTTTTGGGTCCGGTTGTGGGGCCTGAACTCTGGGCCTGGGCACTGTCGCTCAGCTCTTCAGCTCAAGGCTAGTGCTCTACCACTTGAGCGCCACTTCTGGCTTTTTTCTTTTTGCTTATGTGGTGCTGAGGAATCGAACCCAGGGCCTCAGGCATGCAAGGCAAGCGCTCTACCACTGAGCCACTTTCCCAGCCCTTTTGCATCTATGTTGATCAAAGAGATAGGTGTATGGTTCTTTTTCTTTGATGGGTACCCATCTAGTTTTGGGATGAGTGTAATACTATCTTTATAGAATGAGTTTGGTATTCATCCTTCCCTTTCTGTTTCATTGAAGAGTTTGAGTATTGGTGTTAATTTTTCTTTTTTTGCAGATTTCCATTTTTAAAATTTTCAATTTTATTTTATTTTTATTATTGTGAAAATACCATACAGAGGGGTTACAATTACATGGGCAAGATAGTGAGTACATTTCTTATCAAGCATTGTTGCCTCCTCCTTTGTTTCCCCATACCATCCCTTCCCCTCTCCCCCCTCTCCCACATTGGTGTTAATTCTCTTTGAAGGGCTTATAGAATTCGTCTGTAAGCACATCAGGTCCAGAGCTTTTCTTGGATGGGAGGTCTTTTACTGCCATTTTAAGTTAATTTCTTGTTATGGGTCTATTTAACTGATTTATATCTTCTTGGCTCAGCTTAGGGATACTGATGTTCTCTAGGAATACATCCATTTCTGTCAGATTCCCCAATTTATTAGTGCAAAGGCTTGCAAAGTGTTCCCTTATATTCTTCAGTTTTTTTTTTTTTTTGCTTATTTCTGTTGTGATTTTACCTTTTCATCTTTAATTTATTTGGGTGATATCTTTTCAGTCAGGTCAGTTTTGTTAATTTTTCTCAAAGAACCAACTTGTTTTTTGTTTTGTTCTTTGTATGGTTTAAAAAAACCATAATCTCTAATTGATCTGTTTCTGATATTTCTTATTTTTTCCATATACTGGTTTTGGGTTTGGCTTGTTTTTCTAGGAGCTTGAGGTGCATCATTAGAGTATTGATTAAAGACTTCTCTAAATTGTTTATGTATGTACTCATAGACACAGACTTTCCTCTGAGAACTGCCTTTGCTGTGTTCCAGAAGAGCTAGTATTTCAAGTGTTCCTTTAAATTCTAGTGATTATTCAGCAATGTATTGTTCAGTTTCCATTTTGCATGATGGTTTTGCTGTTGAGCTCTAATTTTATTACTTTGTGGTCTGACAGGATATAGGGAGTAATTTTTCTTGGATTTTTTTTTGTCACCTGGGATATGGTCTATTTTGGAGAATGTTTCATGGGCTTCCAAGAATATCTTTTGTGAGCTTTTGATGTTGCTGGATGAAAGATGCTATAGATGACAGGGTTAGCTGGTAAATGCAGTTTTTTAGTTTTGAGATTCCTTTGTTGGGTTTTTGCCTGGAGGATCCAGAGGTGACAGTGATGTGTGGAAGTCACCAACAATCAATGTGTTTGGATCTATGTGTGTTTTAGGTAAAGAAATATTTGATGAAGTTGGGAGGTACAGCATTCAGAGCATAAATATTGGGAATTTTTATGTCTTTCTGATGAGTTCCTTTTATTAATATATAATGCCCTTCTTTGTCTCCTCTTCCTAATTTTAATTTTAAGCCTGTTTTATCTGAAATTAGTATTGCTATTTTGGTCTGTTTAAGAGGCCACTTGCCTGAAAGATTTTGTTCTTGTCTTTAACCTTAAGTAAATTATTTTTGTCAGCTGCATCTATTGTAGGCAGCAGATAGGTGAGTCCCTGTCTTTTGATCTAACTAGCCACTCTGTCTTTTCATTGGCAAATTGAGCCTACTAATATTAAGTATTAGAGCTGAGAGGTATGTGATAGCTCTTGCCATGTTACCTCTCCTCTTAGGAGTTGTGTCTTTTCTTACAATATCTATATGCTCATCTGGTAGGATCTTTTTTCTCTGTCTATATCATGTTAAAAGAGCCAATCCTTGAACTTGAATTCAGGGCCTGGGTGTTGTCCCTGAGCTTCTTTTTGCTCAGTGCTAGTGCTCTACCACTTGAGTCACAGGACCACTTCTGGCTTTTTCTAAGTAGTTTATTGGAGATTAGCGACTCATGGACTTTCATGCTTTGGCTGGCTTTGAACTGCAATACTCAGATCTTAGTCTCCTGAGTAGCTAGGATTACAGATATGAGCCACCAGTGCACAGCCATGTGATTTTTGTGTGCAGGACATCCTCTGAGTATCTTCTGTAGTGCTGGTTTGATGGTGATAAATTGTTTTAGTTTTAGTTTATCATGAAATGTTCTTATTTGCCCTTCAGATATGAATGAAAGTTTGGCTGGAGAGAGTTCTCAGTTGGTGGTAGTTCACATTCAATGCTTGGTATACATCATGCTAAGCTCTCCTTATGGTTCAGGTTTCAGCTGAGAAATATGCAGTTATTCTGACCAGTTTTCCTTTCTAGGTAGTCAATCTTTTTTTCTCATAGCTTTATGTAACTTCTCCTTGTTTTCTACTGAGCCTGTTTGAATCACAATGTGGTGGTGGGAGGTTCTTTTCTTGTCTGTTGGGTGTTCTAAATGCCTTTTGTACTTGGATGGACATTTACTTTTGAATGTTTGGGAAATTTTTTGCTATTATTCTGTTAAATACATTTCCTATATCCTTAGTTGACTGCTCTTCTCCTTCCTTATTACCTTTCAGCTACAAATTAGGACTTCTGATAAAATCCTAATGTTCTTGTAAACTCATTTCCTGTTGCTTGGTTTTTTTTTTTTTTTTTTGGTTAAGATTATATCCTCTCTATTACACTACCCTGTCTTCAAACCTCAGGACTCTGTCTTCCTTGTCATCTATTCTCTACCTTCTGCTTGGTTATTTTTCAGGATTTCTCTCTATTGCATCTTTTAAAAAAAAGACTTTGTATACTTCATCAATTTATCTGTGCCTTCTTTTATCTCTTTTAGTTGGGTGGCTGGTTTTTCATTGGACTCGACATCTTTTGGAATTCATTTAGCTTTTTGTGTTCTCTATGAATTACTCAATTATTCTTTGGTCAGTCTCATTACATTCACAGAATGTCTTGTATAGGTTTTCTGTTATCATCAATCATCTTTATCAGTAGTTCTTTTAGTCTTATGTGTGAAGTTTCCTCTAGATCATTGTCTTTCTGTTCTATTGTATGATTGCTGTTTTCTAGGAGTTTTGTATTTCTTTGATTTCTCATATTTCTTGTATTCTTGGCTTTATCCATTTGAAGGCCCTTTTGGTATTGACTTTCAGGTGCCTGACATCTTCCTACTGGTTTGTTTTCTGTATTCTCAGTTGACTAGGCCAATGATGCTTTGATGGGAGTGCGTCTCTACTAGTATGGGGCATATGTCATCTTTGGTACTTTATCCCAATCTAGAATAGGTGAAATATAACCTATGGTAGGGCACCTTTTTTCACCTTTTCTATCCCTCCAGTCTTGATATGTTTATTAGACTCTCCTACTTGTTTAAGGCTGGGGAGGGCTACACATCCACTGCATGAAAAGCAGACCTTCAGGCTCTATCTTTCTTGTGCAGATCCCAGTGGGAGCAGGCCTTTGGTTGCCTTCTGTGACCAGGAGAGGTCTTCAGCCCCTGCCTTTCTATGTATGATGCAGAGCTTGAGGCTGGAAGCCTGTGCTTCTCTTAACTGTAGAAGCTTAGGTTTGGGGATAGATCTCTGAGATTAGAACCTTTTAGTCCCTGTCCCTTTTGGTTTGGAGCTCCACCAGAGACTGGCTCCTTACTCAGCACTGAGCTTGGGGGCTGGACTCAGATTCAGCGCACTGTTTACTCTGTGTCCTGTTTGCTGGAGGTCAGCCCCTCACTCAGCATTAGTTGCAGGCCTGGTTTGGAACACTGTCCTTTGGTCCCTGTTGGCATACAACGCCACTGCAAGCTGGCCCCACACTCAGCAGAGAATATATTTTGATCAAATGTATTAGAAATCTTTTTATATTTCTTGGATCTGGATATCTGTATCTTTCCCAAGATTTAAAAACTTTTGTGCTTTCTTAAAATAATAGAATTTCAACAAAGCCCAAACACAGAGGAAATGGCAGCAGGGCTTGAAGCAGCAGCGGAGGTGATGGTGATGGAGCCCAAAATGGAAGAAGAAAGCAGCGCGGCCTGCATGCCAAGTGACCATGGGGCTCTGGAGGATGAGGGAGAACGATTGACTCAGAATGAGAAGAGGGAGGAGAAAAACATACAAGGAGGAGGCAGCCCCTCTGAGCCCTGTGCCAACCCAAGAAAAAGATACAGTGCTTTCGTTACCAACATACCTTTGGATGTGAGATGGCAGTCACTTAAAGACTTGGTTAAAAAAAAAGTTGGTGAGGTCACATACGTGGAACTCTTAATGGACGCTGAAGGCAAGTCAAGCGGATGTGCGATTGTTGAATTCAAGATGGAAGAGAGCATGAAAAAAGCTGTTGAAGTGCTAAATAAGCATCGCCTGAGTGGAACACCACTGGAAGTCAAGGAAGATCCTGACGGTGAACATGCCTACAGAGCAATGCGAAAGATTGGAAGTCTTGGAAGCACAGTGTTGGTAGCAAATCTGGATCATAGAATTCGCTGGAAGAAACTGAAGAAGGTGTTTAGTAAGGTTGGTGTGGTGCTCCGAGCAGACATTCTGAAGGATAAAGATGGGGAAAGTCTTGGGAAAGGCATTGTGACTTTCAAGCAGCCCCTGGAAGCTCGGCAAGCGGTAGCTAAGCTTAATGGCCGGCTGCTATTTGATAGACCAATGCACGTCAAAATGGAGAGGACTTTACCAAACAAAGACTTCCTTCCTGAACATCCCCAGCAACTTCCCTATGGACTTGGTGGTATTAGCATGGATTTGGGGCCAGGAGGGCAGCCTATTGATGCCAATCACCTAAGCAAAGGCATTGGCATGGGAAACATAGGTCCTGCAGGAATGGGAATGGAAGGCATAGGATTTGGAATAAATAAAATGGGAGGCGTGGAGGGACCCTTTGGTGGTGATATGGAAAACATGGGACGATTTGGATCTGGGATGAACATGGGCCCGATAAATACACTGAAGAGAGGAGAGATCATTGCAAAGCAGGGAGGAGGTGGAGGAGGTGGCAGCATCCCTAGGATTGAGAGGATTGGCCCTGGCATTGACTACATTATGGGGACTGGCATGGAGTGCATGGGTGCTGGCCTGGGTCACAGCATGGATCAAATTGGCTCTGAGATGAGGCGCATGGGCCGGGTCATGAACCGCGTGGGCTCTGTCGAGCACATGGGCTCCGGCATTGAGCACATGGGTCCCCTGAGTCTCGACCACACAGCCTCCAGGTTTGAGCATATGGGCCAGACCATGGAGCACATGGGTGCTGGCATAGGCTTTGGCCTGGAGCACATGGCTGCACCCATTGACCATGCGGGCCAGATCATTGAGCCCATGGGCTCCGGTGTGGAGTGCATGGGTCCTGCTATCGACTACATGGGCCTGAGCATGGAGCGCAGGGTGCCCGTGGGCATGGGGGCTGGCCGGGAGCACATGGGCCTCGTGATGGATCCCATGGCCACTGGCCTGGAGCTCATGGGTGCCAACAACCTGGAGTGCATGGGCCTCGAGCGCATGGGCGCCAACAGTCTCCAGCGGATGGGCCCTGCCATGGGACCAGATTCAGGTGCTGGCATTGAGCACACGGGCCTGCCCATGGGTAGTGGTGGCAATGCCATTGGGGTGGAGTGTGGACACTTTGGAGGAAGCTTTGCAGGATCCTTTGGTGGAGCCAGAGGCTATGTTCCCAGGGTGTCCAGAGAGGCCTGCCAGGTATTTGTAAGAAATCTCCCATTTGATTTTACTTGGAAGATGCTAAAGGACAAATTCAGTGAATGTGGCCACGTGCTATATGCCAGCATCAAGATGAAGAATGGGAAGTCTACGGGGTGTGGCTTGGTTAAGTTTGAGTCACCAGAGGTAGCTGAAAGAGCCTGCCGGAGGATGAATGGCATGAACTTGAGGGGCCAGAAGATAGATGTTCGAATGGATAGAAATGCTTAAGCTGTTGCCTTTTTTAAACATCAATACCCGAATTTGTTTACTTGTTAACCATTTTAATGTTTTTGGCTGGGTGTATAAAGATATTTTGAAAATTCAGTTGCTTTTTGGGGTAATTTGAATGACTTTTTAAATGACTGGGGTTCCATTTTACTGTTTGCATTGAGATTGCACTGTGTGCACTTGTTTTTGTAGTTGTGGCATCTTGACATCGAATATGACTTTGATAATAAATATCAGTTCCTGAGAAATTAAAAAAAACAGGATTTCTATAGTTAGTCTTTTCTTTTACTTTCAGAAAACTAATAATGCAAATACTTGTTCACTTAGTGGCATCCTAAGTCTTGTAGGATCTCCCCCCCCCCCCCCCAGCATTGGAAGTTCTGAAAGGACAGCAATGCCTTAGCATAGCTGACAAAGCAGGGTTGCCTCCACACCCAGGCTTTGGCCTCCAGGTCTCCTTTCCTACAAACAACAGAAGCCCTGCACCCTGGCTCGTGAGTATGTGTTCAAGGGCTGAGGGGTCTTACTGCAGATAAGAAGTACAATTAGGGTTTCTATGATTCCATCTTCCTGTGACGTCATAATCCCAGAATCCCTCCTTACAATGTGCTAGGCAGACCGGCAGCTGATGGCCCAGCCTCAGGCTAGTGGAGCATTTCTCAAGTCCGGCTTTACATTTCCTCTTCCTTTTAGGGGCTCCTTGGCAGGGCTCAGATAGATGACTTTGTAACGGCAGACCCTGTCTGGTTCCAAAGCATCTTTGCAGCTGTACACCATCCTTGAAGCTTCCCTTGGAGCCAATGCCATTGCAAAGATGTTCCCTCTCCATTTCCCTTTCAGCTTATTTTTTACTTTTTTTTTTTTTACTTCCCATGTTTGTTTGCTATGGGTCTACTTCTGCACATCCTCCAACACCAGCCACGTGGCTTTCCTTACAGAGTCCTGTGAGTTTTCTCACTTCTGTACTTCAGATGAACCCACTTAAAAGGAAGACCAAGCCTCTATATCTCCCTAGGGGCTAACTTCTTCTAGACATTAAGGAATATAATTAAAGCTGAAGCAGGGTGGGATGTCCAGAGTGGGTACTAGACACTCTGAGCTCCAGACATACCCCTTTTCCTATACCACCTGCTCCCTGGGGCTTGGTGCATTCCAGAGGGCAGGAGAGAGTGAATTAGAATTATCTGGAGAGATTGATTGCCAAGCTCCACCTCCGTGTATTCAAATTCCTCACTTATCTGGACAAGAGCTACTACCCTAGTGGATCAGGCTTTATGATGCCTAGCTTCTGTCTGGGTGTGATTACTCCCTGTTTCTGGAGGCGAGCATCTGCAGCAGAGACCTCAGGGCCTGCTGCAGATAACATGTCCTGCAGAAAGTCTCAGGAGACAAGGTCAGTGCTGGTGCAGAGATTCCACGTAGCTGTTAAAGAAAGGAGCTCTGAGCTAGAGAGGAGGTCTGGCAGCCTGCTCTGACAGTATAGATCAAGGAAATTGGAAACAAAGCTTGGGCTAATTGGATCCTAAGAGGTGGATCTGAACATTCTAGAACATAGGTTTCAAGTTGTCTTCTGCACAAGTAAGGAAAGATTTGGTTGTCTCTCACGTTCAGAGTTTGAAGATACTTGAAATTTATAGGTGCTTTTTCCTGGAATAGGTCCTATTATAGACAGTCCAGTATACCAGGGACAGCCCCTGGATCCAGGTTCTGGAAGGCATGCAGTCTCAGCAGGACTGGAAACAAACAGGGGAAGTAGTAGAGTCACACTGGATAGAAACAAGGCCCTACAGATTTTCTTAAAGACTGAATAGAATCTTGAGGAGAAAGACCAGCAAGAGTAGCAGGCTTTTCTCTTTCTTTTCTGGTAGTGCTGGGGTTTGAACCCAGGGCTTTACACTTGCTGGGCAGGCATTCAACCACCATGTCCCCAGTGTCCCCAGTCCTTTGTATTTTAGTTATTTTTTGCATAATATCCTGCTTTTTTCCCCAGTCAAGACTGGATTTCAATCCTATTTATTGTTCTTGTATAACTGGGATGATAGGTGCATGCTACCATGTCCAGCTCTTTAATCACTGAATGGGGTTTTCTGTATTTTTTGCCCAGGCTGGCTTTGATCTGTGATCCTCCTGATCAATTCCTCTTGAGTAGAATTGCATGTGTGAGCCACTGTGCCTAACTCCTTCTGTTGGGATGAACAAAGACAGACTATGGGACTAGGGACAAAGAATTGTTGGGTTTCCTTTAGCAAGTTAGGCTGATCTAAGCCTTCTGGGTCCTGTACAATGGGGTCTATGTGTTCATCGCTTTCTACAGAACATGAACCTCTTTAGGGAAGGTTCATGCCATTGAGCTGTGATCTCCCCCTTAGCGTCCTTGCTATAAGCTGCTCATCTGTTGCATGCAACTCAGCAAGACCAGGTGGGAAGTGTGGAGGACTTATCATATGTGCTCAGATATTAGGCTGACAGTGCAGAACAATTCTTTACAGGGAGATCCTGGTAGTGGGTGGAGGTTGATGGGTTATGGGAAGACATGTCTATCTTTCTGCTAGGCTGAGCAAAGAAGATCCAAATAAATACAGCTTCAGAAATAAACTTTCATTTTTATCCATGAAGAAGTGGAGTTTGTTTGCAAAGGCTCAACAGAGCTTTTCCTGCTTTTTTTTGTTTTTGTTTTTGCTTATGTGGTGCTGAGGCGTTGAACCCAGGGCCTCAGGCATGCAAGGCAAGCGCTTTAACCACTGAGCCACCTTCCCAGCCCAACAGAGCTTTTCCTAAAGTCATAGCCCCATGCAAAAATCTATCCCTATATGGAAACCTACGGCACAGTGGTTCTCCAGTTCAAGCATGTATCATGTTACCTGGAGGGCAAATGGGAAGTGGGATACTCAAAGAGTTTAATAGATCCATGTCCTGAAGATTTATATTCCTAACAAGTTTCCAGGTAATGCTGCTGATCTGAGCTTATGTTTTAAGACTAAAAAAAAACCAACCTTATTAACTCCATTAACACAAACTTTCTACTTTAAAGTTGCATGGTCTTTTTGAATTTTGTCAAGAATAACCCAGAATGATTTTATTTTTACATGTAGCCTGCCTTCCCACTCAGATCTCAATTCCTGTGGGAAAGGGATTGTGTGTTGTCTACTTTCTCCATATTAGTATTGTTGGACACACAATGATATAAATTAAGAAGAATTTGATTAAGCAGACAGGAGTCAATGATGGGTAATTTTTGGATTTCCACATTTTTGCAAAAGTGTATCAATTTTTTCCTTACTCACATTTACAGAGAAAAATTTTCATTTTTTTCTAATAATATCCTAAGTCCATGAAAGAAAAACTCTAGTCTTGATTTAGGAAAAAAGAGTTCATTCCTTCATCCTTCCAAACAAGGTACAGTACACAACTGAACAACAATGTATATTCCTGAAAAACACAACTATATCTAATATTGCTCTACTCTTTAAGTAAAATTCAGATATTAAGGAAAAGAGCCACTAATCACATGGACACAGTACAGAAATCAAAATTAACTTACCACACAAAATAAATTAAAACATTAAATATTAACCTTTTCAGTGCAACATATACAGAAGTCAGAGTAATAAGTTCTTAAAAAAACAGGGTTGTTACAATAAAGATAATGAAAACTTGAACATTTCAGTAAGTTATTACACTAGGAAGAAGAGCTGTTTTTCACCACACACCACTGGGTCTTCCAGAAAACTTGGTAATATCAATGGCTAGAGAGAATAGGTCTTAATGTGAGAAACACTAAAAACAGTCAGGCATAGTGGCTCATGCCTGTAACCCCAGTTATATGTGAGGCTGACACGAGAGGATGGAGAGTTTGAGGCCAGTGAGATCCTATTTCAAAAACAAAACCACAAACAAACCCCTAATACAACCCTAAACATGTGCTGTTTGTTGAACTTCCTTTGGTTCTGGGCTTTTGAACCATTTCCCTCTCTTGACTTGGGAGAGATGAAAGCCCAGAACCTGCAAAGGGGTAGTCTTCTCCTGAGCAGCGTTCGAGTGTCATTGGTACATCCTTGTCAAACTGCCTGGAAACACCCAGTGGCCCACATGCTTGGGAAAGTTGCTTGGAGACATCAGGCAGTTTTCTACACCTGTAGAAAACAAACGTGCCCTGTGGGTGGTGAGCATCAGTTCCTCCTTTGGCAGACAATGAGGTCCCGGGACCAGGGTGCTGGCTGTTGCTGGAACACTTGTTAATCTCACTCCTTGCTTGGTTCCATATGCTTCCAGGTAGGGGTCCCCTCTTCCAGGCTAGAGCTGGCTGGATTATGTCTTGCTATGTAGAAATGTTTGCTATCCCTATGCTTAAAGTCACAACCTGAAGAGCACTGGCTAAATCCAGGCTCCATAAAACTTTGGAGGCCTTGTATATAATTCATTCCCCACCCCCACCCCCAATGGGGTTTTTTCATGGTTTCTGAGCTCACTGTTCAGTGTGTGGCTGCTGCTTCTCAGCTTAGTTCTCTGGAATGGTTTTCTCTAATTATAACAAATTTTAAGAAACATTTGACTTTCTGAAGGGCAGGGACACAGGAATTCTGCAGAGATGGCCTAGGAGATACCCTATTTGGGGCGTGCCATTCCTAGGGCACTGTCTCTGAGCCTTTTTTGTTCAAGGCTAGTGCTCTATCACTTAGGTCACAGCTCCATTTTTTTTTTTGGGTCCAGTCGTGGGGCATGAACTCTGGGCCTGGGCACTGTCCCTCAGCTCTTCAGCTCAAGGCTAGCACTCTACCACTTGAGCCACAGCGCCACTTCCGGCTTTTTCCTTATGTGGTGCTGAGGAATTGAACCCAGGGCCTCAGGCATGCAAGGCAAACGCTCTACCACTGAGCCACCTTCCCAGCCCCAAAGCTCCATTTTTTTTTGAATGGTTAATTGGAGATGAGTCGCATAGACTTTGCTGCCTGGGCCAGCTTCAAACCGCAATCCTCATATCTCAGCTTCCTGAATAACAAAGATTGCGGGCATAAGCCACCAGTTTTTAGCTAGGAGATGTACATTTAACTTGGAAAGATAATTTTTTTTAATCTACCCAAAGAACTACCACTGCCATGAATGGTAGATTTGATCTCTAAAAGAGAAACCACCAAAGAAGTCAGATTATCATATACTACAATGTGGACCATGGTTCAACCAGGTTACCTCAACCCAACCTCAGCCTCTGGCCCTTTTCAGACCTTCTGGTGTACCAAGTACTGATTTGGGAGGCACTTGGGAGGCCCATATTTGAGCCTAATCACCACCTGGATGTACTGGCATAAAGAGGGGCACTGGCAGCTGTGATTGAAAGCAGAGTACTGAGACACTCAACCTGAGATCCTCCCAGGAAAGGAGGATCCATCCCTGTGGGCTCCTCTGCAGAGTCTCTTGGATGCCAATCACTGGTACAGCCTTTACATGGGACATAGATCCTTTCATTTGCTAGGTGAAGAAAGCCCCACAAAGCATTTGCATATCAGTATAAACTCTTTAAAAGCAATGGATCTCCAACAGACTCAAAAAGATCGTCTTAAACTCCCAGTGTAAACCGAAGTTAAAAACACATGATGCTCCTCCACTGTCAGTGATCTTCCTAAGCCAAGACCTCATACTCAGCAGGATTTGATGAGAAGACTGAGTGTGAACTGGAATCTAAAACCAAAGTCAGCTGACTGGTCTCTGAACAGTTGTCTACAAGTCAAGTCTTGATCTATAAATCTTTCATGGCAGGATTTGCCCAAGGAATACAAAGTTAAATCCATTTTTGGATAATTTAAAAACCCTGCTGGGCATTTTAAAATATATTACATACCTGTAATCTCAATACTTGGGGGCTGAGATAGGAGGAAAGCGAGTTCAATGCTAGCCTGAGCTAGACATAGTGAGATCCTGTCCTCCAAACAACAAACCCCACCCCTGAAGCCAAAATACATGGTGCTATGTTAAATATATATATGGGGGCTAATTCTGAATAAATTCAATTTCTGAACTTAGTGCTTCAGGTATAGTAATGAGTGCCAAAGAGAAGACATGGGTCAGACAGACTATTGCCTGAACTGGAAAAAAAAGGCAAATCACATGATAGTTCATAGGAATAGAACTGGGAAGAATTGGAGGAAAGACAATATTTCCTGATAGAAACTTCAAACCAGCTTTCAGAGGTAAATTAGGTACAGTGAAGAGCTACAGTAAGTAGAAATCTTTCACTTGTCAAATATTTGTGGATAGCTTCCTCATAAGAGTTTATATATTAGTTCACTGTTATTCTAAGTTTTAATGAATATCTGAAGGGCTCCACCACTTTATACAGACAGGCTCCATGGGTCAAACACTCTGATGCTCAGGAGAGCAATTTTGCCTTCTTCCAAGGGGAAAAACGAGAGGCTTAGAAGCATTTTCATTAAAAATGTCAGCATCCTGAATGGCAAAGGTGGGTGGGGTGGGGACACTGGAATAGTTCTCTTAATGCTCGAAAATAAATAGGAAAGTTAAATTTCTCCTTTAAAAAATAAAGCAACAAACCAACCAAGCAACCACATGGAAAATACAGGACTGGTCTCCTTTCATGGATTCAGTCTGAAATGCCCACAGCTCACTGCCCTAGCTGGGTGCATGAGGATGTGAATCTGTTTAATCACTAAGCACTGGAAGGTGGATTATATTTACCCTGTGTATACACACAGGCGGCCCTGTCCTCTCCCCCAACAGAAGGGACAATCTCTGCCACTGGGCTTCCTGGCCTTTCTACCAGAACATATCTGGAGATTGACCTGCTTTGTGTCTTAGATGGCATGGCCTCTGATCCCGAGTCTGTGATCATATCATATCCTTAGGCTCCATCTCCATAGTTCCCAAGAGGCTTTCCCAAGCCTTGGATTATCTCAGAGGCCATTCTCACTTTTCAGCCAGCCACATACATCATTAATGCAGATGTTTGATGGAGTTTATACTTTTTGCATGGGCTTAAGAGATGAAAAACAAAATCATTTTCCATAATAAATAAGACATTATCTTGGAGGGTGGTGATATCTGGGAAGATGTTCGTGTATCCATAGAATACAGCCAGCTGGTTGCGGGTTTCATGACCAGAGAACATGGCTCCACTGACACTGTTATCTTCATGTAACAATAGGATGTTTCCTTTTCTACTTTACTATGCCACTTAGCAGATCAGAGAAGGCAGTGGCAACAATAGCACCTCCAGGGTTCAGCAGGATTCTCTTGCCGGGAGGTGGCCCATTGGGAAGAAATACAGCCCAGAAGCTATGATGGACAGGAGGCAACTCGGCACACCTGCACTCAGCTGTTTACAGATGTGCAGGTAAACAGGAAGGGCACCCTTTGCAGTTCTTGTATGACCAGTCTTTAAGTTTGGACCACTGATTTCTTCTTTAGAGTCCCAAATGGACACCGTTTTCAACACAGTCTTGAAGGCCTACAGTACACAAAAGGCTGTGCAGGTGATTGTAGGTGGAGGAGGAGAGGTCTGCTGGCATGTCTCAGGTCTCCCCAGTGTTGCTGTCCTGAAGAAGGCCTTTTTTGTCTTTCAGCAGGCTGCTTCAGGCCAAGTTCCTCCTCAGAGTTCCTCAGACTACTGGCAGGAAGGAAAAATAGGTTTAGCACTGTGGGCCAGCCCTCAGCCATACTGGGAAAACAAGCTTAGACATGGCATCAACCAATGTCACCACCGTCTCTTGGGAAGCTAAGCCCAAATCCCAGGTCCTTTGGTTCAACTTCAGTTACCTTTAATAACTTCTGAAATGGTGCTTTCGTGCTAATGAAAGCCAGCCAGGTCAAGAGGGAAATGAGTTGTAGCAGTGGGGGATGAGGTGGGGTGAGGGTGGATACAGCCCAACTGAAGCTGTGAGGCTTCAGTTCAACCTAGCTATAGCCAGGGTAGCTCACAAGCTGGTTCAGGGCCTGGCATGGCTTCTCCCAAGATGAATATAGACCCACTTCTTTTCAGTGTGTAAGTCCTGAGTGTCTTCTCTGTGGCTGCATAATGAGGCAGTATGGACATAGCCCTCAGCTTCTGAGTCCAGCTCAGCCTGGACATCTGTCTGCTCTGTTTCTTTTGGAGGTGTGCAGGAGAGTATATAGTCTGGGGCGTGAATCACATCAGTTCTAGGCCCCGCAGGCCCAAAGGTGGGCACACATATCAGGGACTGGAGCCTCAGTCTTGGAGGCCATCTCTGAATGGACCAGACCCTCTCCTGCCCCAAACTTCTCAAATGTGGGAAGAGAAGGGACATTTGCAAATAACTGCACTGGAAGTTCAGAAAAATGCTACAAATGACTACTCATTTTCTTAAAAGATTTAAACTGTGTGTGTGTGTGCGTGTGCATGTATGCTCATGCACGTGTGCCAGTAAGTAGGTCTTAAATTCAAGGTTTTACTCAAGGCTGTTGCTCTACCACTTAAGTCACACCTCCACTTTCAACTGGAGATAAGAGTTTCTAGGATTTATCTGCATGGGATAACTTTGAACCAGGATCTTCAGATCTTAGCTTTCTGAGTAGGTAGATTATAGATTGTAAGCACTGGCCCCTGGCCTAAACAATTTTTTATTGGTGGTATAAGAAAAAAAGATACCTTCCTTAGCACCATGAGTGTTTCCTTTTCTTTTGTTCTTTTCTGGTTGTTTGTGGGGCTTGAACTCAGAGCCTGGGTGCTATTCCTGAGCAATTTTGCTCAAGGTTAGCTCTCTACCACTTTGAGCCACAGCATCACTTCTGGTTTTCTGGAGACAAGAGTCTTACGGGCTTTCCTATCTGGGTGGGCTGGCTTTGAACTGTGATCCACAGATCTCAGCCTCTTGAGTAGCTACAATTTCAGGCATGAGCCACAAGTGCCTGACTTACCATGGGTGTTTTCTCATGGTAGTAAAAAGAGAAGCAAGTGGGGTCTTCAAAGGCCCTGGCTCTCACTCTCACTTTCCCACTAACTCATGGTAGAACCCAAGCAGGCCTTCAGGAGACTCTGATTCCTCATATCACTCCTGAGTGATACTCCTTTTCAGCCTCCCGGCATGGGTGCCAGCTTGGAGTCACTTTCTCCAACCAGACAGTTCCTTTCTCAGAGCAGCCCTTTACCTGTCTCTGAATGGCAGCAAGCAGTCCTTCCCTTCAGGAGGGCACTGGGTTTTTCATGCCGGCAGATGAGGGCACGGCACCAATCACAGTGTTTTCGGACCTGGCAGCAGCTGTAGAGACAAGAAATGATCTCAGGAGAGCCTGGACCAGCAACTCTGGGATCCCCATCAGCCTTCCTTAAGGGGTCCAGGTACCGTGGGGGAGCTCAGCACCCATGGTGGTGGCCCACTGGGACAGATGCTGGCCAATAACAGAGACATCTGCTGGCTGTTCCCAAAGAACCAGTACCATTAATGATTGTAGCTTCTTGAGCTGGTAGAGGGGACTGGCTCCCACCCAGCTGCTAGCTCCATAAAATGGGTTTAGAAGCTCCACCAGTAAGGTAGGGGTCCCAGAACAGCCATCAGGCCTAGGACCAGTAGCCACATCTGTCTGAGGGCCACAAGGTTGCAGAGTCATTTTTCTTTTTTTTTTGGTCCGGTCGTGGGGCCTGAACTCTGGGCCTGGGCACTGTCCCTCAGCTCTTCAGCTCAAGGCTAGTGCTCTACCACTTGAGCCACAGCACCACTTCCGGCTTTTTTCTTTTTGCTTATGTGGTGCTGAGGAATCGAACCCAGGGCCTCGAGCATGCAAGGCAAGCGCTCTACCACTGAGCCACCTTCCCAGCCCCAGGAAGAGTAATTTTTCAGGCCTGGCCAGTGACAGAAGAGGAAATATGGGTGGCTTGATCAAGTTGCCCATAAAAGACTGGGAAAATGATAGCTTTGACTCCTTCTTTGAGCATGAATATTCTAGTTTTACAAAATCTAACCATGTTGTAAAGCTATGTGGCAGGGTTAAGGGGCTCCTGACTTCCTTTGTGGGCAGCAATGAGGACCATTCAGAGTTAGCAAGAAAAAATAAAACAAAACCCCAAAACCAACCAACCAAGGAGCCTTAAAAGAGTTGGGAAGAAAGCACCAAGATATCACTTAACTAAAGACCATTTGATATAAGAAGGGAGTTCATTCCAAGTACTCTAACATTATTGTAATACACACAAACACAACACAATATATATATTCTATATATCCATGCACTGGGGCTGGGAGAAATTTAAAAACGGACATATGACAAACTGACAAATGAGCATCTGTGCCTTTCTCTTGGTGCTAGTGGCATTTCAAGATCCCCACTCCAGCTTTCTGCAATCTGGCTCTGCCTTGGAATATAAAGTTGGTTTCATATAATCTCAGAGAATGGACTTGACCTTCTTGCCTAATCTGTTCCTGATGCAGGTGGAAAATGTTAGTTCGGAGAAGTTGGCTGGGGCTCTGGACCCTCCTGAGCTACAGCATCAGGGTTAGGACCCTGCTCAACACCATAGCAGAAAAAGGGATAGGTCTAGATTCTAGCCCTGTCTGTAGCTCTAGCTTATAGCTAGGTACCTAGAGAGGACTGCCATGCTTACTTCCAGCTGGCAGTACCCTAGGTCGTGGGATCAAGGCCTTTAGACTCCGATAGCATGGGGTGAGCTGGTCCCAACCAGGATTCTATAACAGCAGGGCCCTAATATCCAGGCAGCCAGTAGCAGGGTGGTTGAGGGTTTGAGTGTGGCTTTTAGTGGTGTGGAGCTTAGACTCTGGGAGGGACGTGCAGGGAAGGTACAGAGGAGGGGTGGTTCTGGCAGCCTCCTTGGGAATAAAAGATGCTCTTTCGGTGTCTAGATTGTTCCTGTCTCTAGAGAAGCTAGCAAAATTAGTGTTTAAGTCCCTCCAAGAAGGTCCATATGGGTCCTAAGTCTTGTTGCTGAGGAGCTGGTAGCCTTTTGGTCATAGGAACAGGGCTATGGTGACAACACACAGCTAAGCTGACCATGGGAAGTGAGGCCAGAGTCCTATTAGTGGCTCCTGACCACTTCAGGCTTGCTTCTGCCTGTTTGTCTACGCTATTGCAGACATGTGTTCCTAGGACGCTTACAGGCAGAATGGATGTTGCTTAGGGAGGAAGGAAAGGCTTTCAACCTTTACCAGAGCTGGCTTGGTCTAGGAGAAGGGTATGAGCAGCCTGTGGCTAGTGGCAGGAGCTGGGTTTCTAAGATATGATCTCACTTGTTGTCAGATCCAGAGGCATGTGCTTCAGATGTCTCAACAGCAGCAAACCAACAGGACAGAGTCTCTTATTTGTCTATGTGAAATCTAGGTAATTGTGGAGGGCACAAGTCTGGCTTCTGCATTGACACGGAGCTGTTTACTCCAGCCTTGACACAATGGCCCATCTATTTCCTGTCTCACCATGAGCCAGTTCACAGCCCAGCAGCCTTTAACTGACCTATGAATTCCCTGTGCATCCAATTAGGTATAAAGAGCTCACTCTGTGACTTAGACTTCAGCTAGTTCCGGGGAAGGGAGAGTCGGGGGTGAGGGGGTAAATCTGGCCTTGGGCCAAGTTTTGGGACAAGAGCTCCGTGTTGCCAAGTCACTGACTCTACCGAGCTGCCTGGTGGGTAGATAAGGCCAAGCAAATGAACTGGGTATGGGGCTCAGTAAAAGCTTCCTGGAGGATACAGGATTTTGAAGGACAAGGAGAGGCCAAGTGATGAAGGGGGAAACGGCTGGGAAAAGTAACGGTCGCCCGTCTGCAATAATAGCAATAGTGGCCTTTGAGGTGACTTTGGGTTTTGTTACTGTCCCAAAGAATGGTTTCTAGCTCTTCAGAGCATCTATCTGTTTAACTCACTGTTCCCAAGGCTCCAAGAACAACAGCAGAGGGGAGTGAATCTTTGGTTTGACACTGGCTTCCAGCAGTGCACAGGAACACAGCTGGGTCTGGTGGGGGATGGCCTAGGCCTTCGCATGGCTTGGCTACCACACTTAGCTTAGAGTGAGACCTGACAGCCATGCACTGGGCTGACAAGGCCCTGTCACGAGCTCATGCTGTAGATGTCCCTGGTAGGGCTGGGGGCAGAAGATACTCACTGTATCAGCACACATGTGATGATGAGGACAGCCAGGGCCACAATGGAGACCACCACCAAGGCGGTGATGGCTTGTTTCTTCTGACTGGCGGCCACCACGGCCAAGAGGTCCGCGTGCTCACAGCGTGCACCGACGTACCCAGAATGGCAGCTGGAGAAGAAAGGAATGTCAGTCTACTTCTCCAGGGTCTCCTTTCCCCAATTTACTGTGCCAAATCTTGGGAGATAACACAGCTAATGTGTTTAAGTCAAGAAAGTCATCTTGGCAATTGAGAAAAAAAATCTAGGCTATTATTTTTTTACAAATTAAATGTGTGTTCTCAGAATTTCTGATGAGAGAAAGAAAACATATTTGTCTAATTGGAGACATCACATGACTTAGCCTTTCTGTCTTCTCCATCAAGTTTAATTAGCCTTGCCAGGATTTCCTGGATGGCCCAGTGTTCAGGGAACATTTAGCAGGACATGGGCAGGACTGGTGAGGTCACTAGGCTCCTTGGACCCTGGTGTCTGTGCATCTAGCAATACTGGCTGACCTCCAATAAGGAAAGGAGAGGCATGGGAAGTCATGAATGAACATGCAGGTGGCACTAGCACATTTGTTTTATCAATGCCAACGCTCCCCGTCCCCCGCTCCATGATTTTCCTCAATAGAGGCTACTTAGAATATGCACAGATCCCTTTTTTTTATTGCCATTTGAAAACATTTGACCTCAGAAGTCCCATAAAGGACTTCTGGGAGGGGCAGTCCCATATCACACTCTAGGTTTAATTGTTTCTCCTTTCAGAGATAGCAATGCTAGCTATTTTCTTTTCTTGTTATTTTTTTAAATGACTCTGTTATGATTAGCTACTCTGTAACTTTCACTTGTAGATTAAAAGGCCTTGGAGAACAAGGAACTCTGAAAGAGTATTACTGAGCCTGGGTACCTGCCATGGTGCCAGGCCAGCCCCAGGACCTTTATATGTGAGATCCTTAAGCTGGCCACCTCAGCTACCAGGCTCCAGGTATCATGGGATAGATGTGGTCTGTTTTCTGAGAGTCTGAGTTTTTCCCAGTGTTAAAATTTCCAGCATTTTGAGAGTGTAGAGACAGGTATTATATAGGTTTAAGATTTATGGTAAGCAGGGATGCTGAAAAGTTGCTGATGGAGGAGTATCCTGGGATATAAGAGTAGACAAAGGAAATGTTTAATTTCAGGTACTGGTCCTTTATTTAGTGCCTGTACTAGGGCTTGAACTCAGGGCCAGGGTGTTTTTCCATAGCTTTTTCTCAGAAGGCTGGTGCTCTTACCACTTAAGCCATAGCTTTACTTCTGGGTTTTTGTTGGTTAAAGAAAAGAATCTCATGAACTTTTCTGCCTAGGCTGGCTTTGAATTGTGATCCTCAACCCCCTGAATAGCTAGGATTTTTTTCTCCTCGGTCAGAAGCTGGGCTATGGTCAAGGACCAGGGCAGTCTTGAACTCATGTTCCCCTTTTCTCAGCTTCCCAAGTACTGGGTCACAGGCATATGCCATCATACCTACTTTTGCTAAAGCTTATTTTATTCTTAACATGTTTTCTCAATTCATCCTTGCATGAGAAAAATCAAGTCCTTCTGGAGACTTGAGTTTATAGCCAGGTCTGCTGCCTGAGTCTGGCTCTCACATTCTCTAGGCTGATTCACCTGTCTGCTAGGGAGACTGGGGCACAGTGTCTCAATCAGACCTGCTTTTTAGGTTAGCCTCTACGCTTGGAAGGGTAAAGTATTTGATAGTTTTGAGTGCAGCGTGAAGTGCTTGTAGTCTTTGGTAATTAAGGAAGCTGAGGAGAGCATGGGGTGGAAAATGCTCGTCAGTATCTCCGCAGACCGCGGAGGAGAGGCCAGGCCCTGGTAGTGGAGGCTCCGATGGGAAGACTTCTCTTGTTTTTTTTTTTGGGGGGGGTCCAGTCGTGGGGCCTGAACTCTGGGCCTGGCGCTGTCCCTCAGCTCTTCAGCTCAAGGCTAGCGCTCTACCACTTGAGCCATAGTGCTACTTCCGGCTTTTTTCTTTTTTGCTTATGTGGTGCTGAGGAATCGAACCCAGGGTCTCAGGCATGCAAGGCAAGTGCTCTACCACTGAGCCACCTTCCCAGCCCCGGAAGACTTCTCTTGTAAACTGAGATTGGGATCTCCTAAGTCTGAAAAACACTGACTCTCATAGTTCCAAGCAATGGGATGGGAAAGCTTTTTATTTATTATTATTATTATTTTGGTGGGGGTCCTGGGACTTAAACTCAGGGTCTGGGGGCTATCCCTAAGCTTTTTTGCTTAAGGTTAGCACTCAATCACTTGAACCACAGTGATACTTCCAGCTTTTTCTGAGGAATTTATTGGAGATAAGAGTTTGGTAGACTTTCCTGCCTGGACTGGCTTCAAACTGGGATCCTCATATCTAAGTTTCCTGAGTAGCTAGAATTACACGTATGAGCCACCACCATCCAGCTGTTTTTTTTTTTTCCTGTGAAGCAGAAGCAGAGAAATAGCTTCCCAGGTTGGCACTGGCCCTTTCCCACTGAGGGGAGGAGGAGAGCTCCAGGGGACCATAGTGGAGGCTGGGAGGTGATCTGTAACTGTCTCAGGCACCATCTAAGCTGTCCATGTCTAAACAAAACTGCAAAAGGTTCCTCCAGCCTATCCTTAAGTATTTACCCTGTAGCCAGATGCCTCTACCTTCCAGAGGAGCCCTATGAGGTGAGATTCCTCTGTGTGTGATACCCATTTCCTGCATGGTCCTAACCCGTGCCCTCCATATCTAGGTTCCAGCCAGTCCAAGTCCTTTCTCCCTCATGCTCCCAGCACAGTGTTAAATGCACACACCGGACCTAGCAGAATACACAACGTAGGCACCTAGGATACACCTGTGGAATGTGCCAGGGGCTGCTGTGCACCTGCCCACTCAACGTCTGGTATCCTCTTGGTGTGGAATCTGATTCCTCTCCATCCTTAGACTGTGTGTGCATATTTGCGTGTGTGCATGCGTGCATGTGCGCACGTGTGTGTGTGTGTGTGTGTGTGTGTGTGTGTGTGTGTGCATACCAGTACTGGGGCTTGAACTCAGGACCTAACACTTTTGTTAGGTCACTCAGGGCTTGCTCTCTATCCCTTAAGCCACACCTCCACTTCTGGCTTTCTGCTGGTTAACTGGAGATAAGAGTCTCTTGGATTTGTCTGTCCAAGCTGGTTTTGAACTTTAATTCTTAAATCTCAGCCTCCTGGGTAGGTGGGATTACAGGCGTGAGCCATGGACACCCAGCAAGACTGCATTTCAAAGATCACATTCCCAAATTGACATGCTCTACTACTCATTCATTCACCCAGATATTCAGTCATCTGTGTCTCCACAGCTCATGCCATGGCTCTCCTGACCCTCTCTATCTTTGAACACCTGAAAATCCACATCTGCTTCTTTCCTTAGCATCTTTGCCTTTGCAGGCTGGGACCTTGTTCTACAAAACACCTGGCTTTGCAGTTGCTCTTGTGAGTTGGAAAGAAAAAAAGTTGGTGACATACTTTTGTCTTTTTAGACTTAAGTGTGCTGATTATCCTAGAAACAAGTCACACAGGGAGAAGAGTCACCTCACCTGGCTACTAGCAAACCACGATTGACTCAGCTGCTGTCCTCTCCTTCACCCCAGCCAGACACTGGCTCCCGCCTGGTACACCTTAGAGTCACCTAGCAAGCTTTGGAAAATATAAGAATCTAGGTCAGGAAATGCTCAGCCAGTTGCTCTGGGCATATGGTGATTCTAGTGTGCAGCTCAGTCTGAGAAGCCTCGTAGGTAGAACTACCATGGAACTGGGAACTAACAAGTCAAAAACTGGCCAGTTCCTCTTCCCTTCCCCCTCTCTGAGCAGTTCCCCAGGGTGGTAGCCTAGGCCCTTCCAAACAAGAACTGGGCGATGTTGCATCTCTGCTTAAGAAAAGCATCTTAAGAAAGGCATCTGGATGAAATAGGAGTCATTTTTATCACAAAGGGGCACAGGAGAGGTGCAGCTGGACCAATTTCCTGTTTGGAATGGGCTTGGGGAGCAGTGGCAGCTGTTTGTCAAAACCAAACTGCTAGAATGCTGTTTTGTTCTGTTCTTCTGAACAGGAAGCTTGACAATCACATTGGGAAGAAGAGGATGGAAGGAAAGAGCCATCACCTGGGTACCTGGGAAGGACTGGGTACTTGTTTGCGTTGCAGAAGAACCCAGGGAGGTCAGGACAAAAGATGAGTGCTCCAGCCAGGTGGCTGAGGCCTTTACACTTTAGGAGTGTGTGTGTGTGTGTGTGTGTGTGTGTGTGTGTGTGTGTGTGTGATGCTGGAGTTTGAATTCCAGACTTCACATTTGCTAGGCAGGACTTCTACTTACTATTTGAGCCTTATCTCCAGTGGGTTTTTTTTTTCTCTGATAATTTTTGAGATTAGATCTTCCTTTTTTGCCAAGACCAACCTGGCCTGCAGCCCTCCTATTTATACCTTCCACAATACCTGCATTCTAAGGCACATACCATCATGGCTAGCCTTTTCTGTTGAGATGGGTGAGGAGAGGATTCCAAACTTTTCCTGGCTGGCCTAGAACTTTATCCTCTGAATCTCACTCTCCTAAGTAGGATTACAGATGTGAGCTACTGGTGCCCAGTATTGTTTTTGGTACTCAGGAATAAACGCTGTGGCTGTAGTCCCTCTATGTTAACACAAAGAACAAAATTGCCTATGAAATACCAGTTTTCTCCTCTGCCCAGAACTTGAGGGATTTCTCTAAGTCCCTACTTTACCTAATTCACAGTATCCTATATATATATATATATATTTTTTTTTGGGTCCATAGTGGGGCCTGAACTCTGGGCCTGGGCCCTGTCCCTCAGCTCTTCAGCTCAAGGCTAGCGCTCTACCACTTGAGCCACAGCGCCACTTCCGGCTTTTTTCTTTTTGCTTATGTGGTGCTGCGGATTCGAACCCAGGGCCTCGAGCATGCAAGACAAGCGCTCTACCACTGAGCCACCTTCCCAGCCCTCAGTTTCTCACTTTTATAGTAAGGCAAAAATCTCTACTATGCAGGGAAGTTCTAAGGCATCTTGGGGAAGTTGAATGTGGAATGCTGGGTACTAAGTATGGCATGAGCCATAGCTTTTGCAGAGAGTTTAATATCACTACAAGAAATATTTATAAGCTAGGTACATGCCTGCAATCCTAGCTACTCAGGAGGCTGAGATCTGAGGATCGCAGTTTGAAGCCAGCCCAGGCAGGAAAGCCTGTGATACCCTTATCTCTAACCACCAAAAAGCTGGAAGTGGAGGTCTGACTCAAGTGGTCGAGTGCTAGCCTTGAGCATAAATGCTTGGGAATAGCACCTAAGCCTTACGTTTAAATCCTAGGACTGGCATACAGACAAAGAAGGGAGGGGAGAGGAAGAAGAGAAGGGAGAAGAAAGGAGAGAGAAGAGAAGGGAGGAGAGTGTGCCAGTAGTAGACAATTATCTTCCCTGAGCTAAGAACAGGATTTAGGAGGCCAATGAAAGAAGAGGAGAAAAGTCACACACCCTCAGTTCTTGAAAGCTCTAGAACCTAGTGGAACCTTAGTTTGGCTCATCTGATGGTTCAGAGTGCCAGCTCTCTGAAAGTTTGTGCCAGCCCCTGATCTAGTTGGAAGCATGGAGTTTCTGACCCACTTGGCACTGGGGCTTGGCTTTTTCACTCAAGGCTAGAACTCTACCACTTAAGCCATACCTCCACTTCCAGCTTTTTGGTGGTTAGAGATAAGAGTATCACAGGCTTCCTGCCTGGGTTGGCTTCAAACTGCGATCCTCAGATCTCAGCCTCCCAAGTAGTTAGAATTATAGATATGAGTCACTAGCACCAAGTGCTGACCCACTTTTGATCCAAATGTGACAATGGCTTATTCTAAGTTGCCAGTGCATAGCCCAGCCTGGGCACTGCTGACAGAGAGAGTGTCATCTACCTATCAGCCAGGAGGCTTCAAGACATTTGGGCCAAGAGGTCAAACTCCCTTTGGGGCTAGTGTTTTTCCACAATGGCTTGGGACTAATAAAAACAACCCCATTAGTCCCCCAGGGGCCCCTGTTGTGCATTTTAATAAGAATGATAATCATGAGTGATGACAGTGTCTACTATAATCAACATCATTATGCTTTGTGTTTATGGGGTGGGGAGACATTACCCAGAGGAAGTTGGTCAGTATGCCTTTCTTCTCCAGGTGGGGCTCAGAGGCTCCCAAAGGCCATGTCCAGGCGCACATAGCTCAGCTGTGATGGCAGCAGACTTATTTGCATTCCTCCTCCCAGGCCCAGTACATCTAATACCTTAAGCATCATAACTAAGAACTCAACTTCAAGAGCCAGAGTCTACGCTCTGCTGTGTGACCTGGGCTAAGACTTTCTATGCCTACTCAGGAGTCAACACACAGATCGTGCTTGAAACAGAGCCTGGCATGAAGCAATAGTTCAGGAGATGCTGGCATCAACATTTCCTATTGACAGCTCTACAATACCATATGGTTAGAGCTCATGAAATGTCTAACTCTCGACCATTCCTGATCTATAAAAATGACAATTCATGTGGACCACTGTTGTTTAATTAGTAAGTGATTTTTGTCCCCTAAGGGATCGTTGGCAATGTCAGGAGGCACTTTGATTGTCACAACTGAGGATAGTGGTCCTGCTGCTGCTAGTGGGTAGCAGATGGCTAGCAACGTTCAATGCATGAGACATTCACTGAAGATTATCTTGCTGCAAGTGTCGGTAATGGCTAGGTTGAGTATAGGTCTTCCTTACAGACACACACACACACACACACACACACACACACACACACACACGAGAGAAAGAGAGAGAGAGAGAGGGAGAGAGAAAGGGAGAGAGAGAGGGAGAGAGGGAGAGTATTCTTTCAACTATGGACATATTGTCTTTAAACATCTTCCAACCTTATGTGGTTCCCACTGCCTGGATGTTAGAGACTCACCCCCAGCAGCCACTGGCCTCCAATCTTGTCTCCTCCCATCTCTGTGCTGTGGTCATCAGACCTGTAATAGCTGGGCCTCATCACATGATCTGCTCTATCTGCTTGCCTGGTAGTCAGATTCTGACTCCTGCTCTTCTCTGATGCTTTTCTTTCCTTATCTTGCTGATATGACAATCACCAGGACCCACTTCCAGAGATTTGAATTCTGTATGTTAGGGTTTTGAAGCAGATGTTTCTAGGCCTGCTGCTCTGATCCTCCGACTTGTTCAGCTCCAGTGATCTCAGGAGCTTGTGGCAAGCCTTATGGAGGGACATGGTCTTTTTAACAGGATGCTTGACAGCCCCACGACACCAGGAGATTAGGGGACACTTACACACATGCTGGCTTGTCTTCCTGCACCAAAAACCTGCAGGTCCCATGGAGGCAGAAGTGAGTGTGGGAATCTGGGCAGTCGTTAAAATGTGATACCACTGCTGCTGCCACAGGAGGGTCTGCTGGGGAGAGAAGAGAAAAGATGCAGAGGTCAGATCTGGGCACAGCTGGCACATAGTTCCTATGGCCCTTACCTGCCATTCTCAAGACAGGCGGGGCCCCTGACTTCCTGTCTCCAACTAAGGGCTCATCCTGTAGCGCTCTCATTTGCTTCCTGATATCAAGTGTAGGACCATACCCCTTCCATCAGGTGCTTTCTGACTTTTTTGTGGTTAGCAAACCACAAAATTCAGTGCAATGATGCCAAAGTATTTTTAATCCTAGCTACTCAGGAGGCTGAGATCTGAGGATTTCAGGAAATCTAGTACTGGGCGAGAATCACACTAGTATACACACTGCACACAAACACGCGCATGAGCTCATTATGTCCTCCAATACAATCACAAGCATCTTAAAAAGAAGTATTTAAGGGGCTGGGAAGGTGGCTCAGTGGTAGAGCGCTTGCCTTGCATGCATGAGGCCCTGGGTTCGATTCCTCAGCACCACATAAGCAAAAAGAAAAAAGCTGGTAGAGCGCTAGCCTTGAGCTGAAGAGCTGAGAGACAGCGCCCAGGCCCAGAGTTCAGGCCCCACGACTGGATCCCCCCCCCCCAAAAAAAAGAAGTATTTAACCCAAGACACTGTGCTCTGTCCTGGCCCTACTCAAGTAAGTCCTATGTAGACAAGTGTGGGACAGGTCCTGTCTCCACTGGTGTGTCAGAAGTGTTAGGGCTTGTTCCAGGTTTCAAACGGGGTATACTTGGAACTCCAAAGCATGTGGAGAAGGAGGAGTGCCATGCTGCAGCCACTCTGCTGTCACTCACCCATAGGGTGAGTTAGCCCTAGATGGGGAGGCATTGTGGCTCGTGGTCCTGACAAGCTCTGTGGATTTATGAGCTAATGCACTTCATATGGTTTGGATATGGCTTGAGTGTGTGTCCCAACGCTTCCTGCACTGGAGTCTTGGTTTCTAGTATGGTAGTATAGGAAAGAGGCAGAAATGGGGCTGGGAAGGTGGCTCAGTGGTAGAGTGCTTGCCTTGCATGCATGAGGCCCTGGGTTCGATTCCTCAGCACCACATAAGCAGAAAAAGCTGGAAGTGGTGCTGTGGCTCCAGTGATAGAGCGCTAGCCTTGAGCTGAAGAACTGAGGGGCAGTGCCCCATGACTGGAAAAACAAAAACAAAAACAAAACAAAAAAAAGAAAGAGGCAGAAATGTCCTCTGAAGTGATTAATTGTTCTCACAGGACCCCAGTATTTTCCCCTGAAGAGTGAATTGTGAGAACAAGTGCAATCCTGACCTCTCCAACTGACTGGCTTCATATATGCAAGCTAAGTAACCGCATCCCCCTCCTCCACCTTTTTTTAAAAAAAGCTCCTAGCCTTGGACATTTTGTTATAGCAACAGAAAATAGTCTAATACAAAGTGTGAAACATGCAGTGAATAACAGGGAAGAAACTTTTCATTTTGGGGGAAGGGGAAAGTCTTCTATATAGATGTTTGTTGTATCAAAGAAAGAATACCCCCAACCCCAGGCATTGTCAGCCCAGACAGACAGGACTGTTGCTGGGGCTGTAGAGGAAGCAAGTAGGAGGCGTGGGCAACCATTTACTGAGTGCTTGTTGTGTGCCAGTCCCTTCCTTACCTCATTTGATGCATTGCTATAAGGCAAGTGGCCACCCAGGGACTCATTTGCCCAATAACTTTGAGAACTAAATCTTCCTTGAGGTGGGGTGCGTGTGTGGGAAAGGTGTAATGCTGCTTTCAGTTGTGTTATAAAAAGGACTGCTATAAAGAAAACCCCAGTTCTCAACATTTCCCTTGAGACTGAGTCTCTTAGACTCATACTTATTTTTTTTCTTTTTAAGATGGGGCATGCTATGTAGCTCAGGCTGATCTCAAGCTTATGATCCTCCTATCTCAAGTGCTGAGGTTATAGATGCATATCACCACATCTGAGTTTCCCCTCTACATCTCTTCCCATTTCCCCCCTTTTCCTCTTAAGTTTTTCTTTTCCCACCTCCCCCTCTCTCTTTCTTTTCTTTTTTGTACTTGTACCAGAACTTGAACTCAGGATCTTGCTTAGCTTTTTCCATTCAATGATGACACTTTTCTACTTGAGCCACAGATCTACTTGCAGCTTTTTGCTGGATAAGATCCAGGAAATTCTCAGATCTCAGCCTCCTGAAGTAGCTAGGATCATAGCTACTATCACCTGGTACCTGGTGTATTTTTTTCTTTCTGAAAACTCAAGAAAATATCAAATGCTGAAAAGAAAGGCCTCTGGACTTAAAATGGAAATACAGTCATGTAGAAAAGATGAGGGAATGCAGCTCAACAAATAATGCTCACAGAAAGCCTGTCCTTAAAGGGTAAGAGGAGGATAGGGCAGGGCAGCTCCAACCCTCTCCTCCAGGCACCACATATGATTAGCACTTGGGCTGATAAGAAAAGCAAATGTGTGGGTTTTCTATAGACTCCCGGCAGCTGGAATTTCAAAGATGCTCAGTTCCTGTTGTCATGAAATTTATGAGAGGCCTCCTCCAATCCAGGGACCAAATACATGTTCTCCAGACACCATTGTGCAGACACCATTGTTCTCCAGGGAAGCTATCAAAACTTTGCCCAGAGACCGCAGACCCACTAATAGGGCTGAGAGTCCAGTCTCACTCACAGGAAGAGGGTCTGGAAGAGCAATCCAGGGGGCAAAGAAGCCCCAGATTCAACTCACAGGAGGGAGTTCTCCTGTCTAGAAGAGCCAAGGAGATACCGTTTGGCCAGATGTGCTCCCAGAGGAGCAGTACCACATGGCTGAGCCCTAATTGGACTTCCTGTGGAGCCAGTGGATGATTGCTGGCGGTGGCTGTGGCTTTTCTCTCTCTTTCACAGATGTCAGAAGTCCTGGGTCCTGAGCTTACATCATGTATAGCCATTTCATTAGTTCCTCAGAGAGCATGGCCCACTTTCTGACCATTTCATGACATCTGGCTCCTCTGGAGGAATGTTCCGCCAGGGATTCAAGCTGCCACCAAGTATTTTCACACATTACAATGGCAAGGCTGACTCATTCCGCTTCAGTGAAGATGGGTTTCCAAGCACCCCCTACTCCCCATAAGCCAGGACAGGAATAAACTAAGAGGCACCCCTGTCTTTCAGGAGTGGAGCCCTGCTTTCACCCTAAGGCTGGGTGGAGTTTGCTATGGGTCTGGGGGTTTCCCTCAGGGCAGCAACAGGCCCAGCTCAGAGCTCAGGAGGGAGTGTGTGACCCTGCAGTATTAACCAATAGTGAAGGAACAGCTGGTGTAGAGGTGTCCCGGAAAAGGGGAGGGGTAAGACCACAGGACTTAGAGGTGAGCCACACAGGACACAGGCCCCTCTTCAGTGGATGATAGGTGAGCTATTGTCATGTCTGCTATAGGGCTGGGGGCTGGGAAAGAGGAAGAACACCATCAGCATTTAGTGGAGGTGATGACACATTTTTTACCACATAGAGGAATCACCTTGAAGGTAACTCCATAGGAGTTACTGGCTCTCAAATGAGCAGAAGCCAGGGAAGGACTGAAGAGCGATTCCCTTTATATTTATAGCACAAGTAGGGGATTCTTCCCATTCTGAAGTGCTGCTACTGACAAAGGAAAGGAATCAATTTTTTTTTTTGTTCTGGGGTGCATCTGTGGTGCTGGAATGAGTGACACACCATCATGCAGTTTGTTCACCTTTAAAACCAAGAGCAGGATATATAACTTTCAAATAACAGATGTAAACTGGTCTGAAAACACAGTGTAGAGAGTCACTATACTATCATTTAAAAGAGAAAGGGCATTCATTTTAATTATGCAACAAAAAGGAGAAAAGTGACTTTGTGCTTGATTTATACTGCCAATTAACTGACAGCATTTCCCTTCAATTTCTCTTTCTATGGCAAAGGACAAAAGAGCAAGTTTTGTTACTCTCCTCCTCCCAGCCACAAGAATCTCAATCCACGGAGAGACCTCCTATCTTAGAGATCTACCATGATCCCGAACACAGGCCTACTAAGCCTTCAACAGTCACTTCCTACACTGACGCTTCATAAGCTGGCTCAAGAAGGTACATGACCAACTCTCAAGTCATGCTGGCTCTGTGAGGAAGAGAACATGGAACCTGTCAAGCTGGTCATAGATATTGGAAGGGGACCCCTTTAAGAGAACCAAGAGGAAGTATTACTTTATTTGGAGGAGTGGGAAATTTAGACATATGGAACTTTTTATTCATTTCTTTTGAAAAAGATAAACAGGTCTAAGAGAGATGTCTATTTGATCCATGGATGACTGAGGAGTAACAGAAGTGGTGGAGGACTGTCAAGATGCATCTAGGCTTTCCACTAAACATGCCCCTACCTCCTAGCCAGTACCTCTGGGCAACATCATACAGGTGCCCAAGAGCCCAGGTGTTATGCTCAGGGTTGGGCTGAAATTTACTCCTGAACTGCCTTTGCAGCTAGGGGCAACTTCAATAAGGGAACACACGTGGGCCAGTTGAATTCCCTCAGAGCTTTTCCACTTGGAGCAAAACCCAAGGGTTAAAATGGAACCAAAATCAAAGAAGAGTATTGCTAAAAACAAACAACAAAACCAGATAACATATTTTCTACTTTCTATACAGCCATGAGTGTGCTGGGAAAACAGACACACACACACACACACACACACACACACACAGAAAGCAAGAGTGGTCTCTAGGTAGGTTCATCCTGCTTGTATTTTTTAGTCAAAGACAGGGTTTGCATCACATTTGGTGCCAGTTTTTCATTCCATCAAAGAGAAGAAAATCAGAAAACATTAACAAAATGACTTTACTAGGTTCATATTCCATCCAAAGTAGGTGGTGTGTGTGTGTGTGTGTGTGTGTGTGTGTGTGTGTGTGTGTGTGTGTGTGTGTACATGCATGCAAGTACTCCTGCTTGATCTCAAGGCCTTACTACCCTGTCATTTAACTTTTTTGTTCACAGCTGGCAGTCTACCACTTGAGCCACACTGCACTTCTGGCTTTTTCTGGTTACTTGGAGGTAAGAGTTTCTTGGATTTGTTTGCCCTAGGGTTGGCTTTGAACCTAGATCCTCAGATCTCAGCCTCCGTAGAGCTAGGATTAAAGGCATCTGGCAATGGGTGTAGAGTTTTAACCCAATGTGCATTTTCTGAGGTTGGAATATCATGATGATGATGACTATTATTAATAGCATCTTCCATTAAGACTGTCTAGTTACAAATGCTGTTCTTAGCATTTATAGAGAGATTTCAATTTAATCCTCACAAAAATCTGGTCGGCAATGTCATTACCATCCCAGTGTTACAGATGAGGAAATTTAAGTGGAGGGTGGTTAAGTTTGTTCCATGTCGCTGAATCAATAAATGGAGAGCTGAAGCGAAACACATATTGGATTCCCTTTTTTTTGGATTTTTTTTAATTAATAAGTTTTTTTTATTGTGAAAATGCCCTACAGAGGGGTTATAATTACAGGAGCAAGGTAATGAGTACATTTCTTATCAAGCACTGTTGCCTCCTGCTTTGTTTCCCCTTACCATCCCTGCCCTCCCATGCCTCTCGCCCCCGCCAAAGTTGTAAAGTTTGTTTTTTGACATAACTCTTTGCAATGGGTCCACCTGTATCCTTAGTTAAACAATTTGTTTTTTTTTCCCTTCCACTCCCCAAATTATGCCAACATCAAAAAACAGGGGTTATACTATGGGGGAGGGACATACAAAGCAACAAAGAAATCATCTTATAAATATGTTAGAAACAATACAAGAAAGAAAAATCATTTGAGTCCTTATCTTGGGGTTCATTT